TTTTAACACAAAATATCTCAACAGCAAGTGGCTCCAAGGCTAAAATTTTCACTAATCTGATATTCATAATTATAATTGAGTCATATTACCCTGAAATACTTCAATTATTCGGACTTTCAAAAATCGGGGCGTTTTCATCCAAGTGCCCCTTTAATCCATGGGGTTGAAGGTTCGAGCCCTGCATTGGACAGTTTAATTCATTTTATTTCATTTTGTTTGTTTTTTGTTCTGACAGATAAATTGCACCACCATAAAAATGCCAAGAAGAGTTTCTTAGCTGATGCAATGAAAGAAATGGAATACGGCGAAAATGCTGCAGCAACGACGAAAGAAAGTATTCAAAATAACACCAAGGCAGTTGCACCACAAGAAGATAAAACCCATAGCAACAAACAAAGACAAAAACACACCAACAAAAAGGTTGTAAATCAGGATCAATTTGTAGCCAGGATTTTTCCTTCGAAAGTGATTACTGATGTGTCCGAGAAGGAACCAGACAAGGCGAATAAAAATAAGGAACACGGTGATGTGACACCAAAGCTTGGTAAGGTTCACTCGAAATTGCTTTCCACGGGAAATGATCATGAAATTCTGAAGAACAAGGGCAGCTTCAAAAGCGATGCTAAAGTGGTTCAAGATACTGAATCGCTTTTTCAAAACAGTAGCACGTCTTCTATCATTTCACCGTCTTCTTCGCTACAGCAAGTAGTAGTTAGCAGTACGCCTATTCCTACTGACAATACTATAGCTTCTAGTAATAACTCGAATTCAGCATCTGAAGAGATTGACATGAGAACAAACAACCAAGGTCGGCAAAAGAAAGAACCCCGGAAAAATATCAAAGATACCATTCGTCTTCTGCAAGCGTTTGTGGAAAAACTATTAAAGGAAAATGAAACAAATGAATCTAATCAGTCAAGTAAACCCAAACCAACAAAGAAGCAGTCAGAAAAGAAAGATGTTTTGAAGCAAGCACTTCCTATCCATGTGCATCCAGATGACGGACAACAATCTACAGTTATTGCAGGCGTCAAGTACAATCTTGCTCCTATTTATAAGATAAAGGCTAAATATTCAAAAGATGCTGTCAATGCGAGTAACAGCAGTAACTCCAACCCTGCACAGCAGCAAGAACAAGAACAGCAGCAAAAACAACAAAACCAAGAACAACATCAACCAAAGATACCGTCAGAACAACAACAGCAGCAGCAAGAAAATCAAAAACAACAGCAAGAAGCTGAGCCGCAGCAACAGCAACAGCAAAATAATACACAGAACAAATTACAGGAAAACATCGAAAAACTCAAACAAGAAGAAAATTTACTGCGACAATCGTTAGCAGAAAAAGAATTAGAAATACAGAAACTAAAGTTACAGAATCCTCCTTCTGATAACAGTAGCGCTTCTAATCAAGTGGTAGACACTACAACGCAGACTCCAAATATAACTAATGAAAACATGAAACAAGATGAAAGCCATTCAAACGACGATCAGAAGGAAATGAAGTTTGCTTCTCTGAAAGGGGTTCCGCCTGACCTTTTGATGAAGCTTAAGACGATTCTTGAAGAAAAAAGGGGAAAAAGCCAAAATATTGTTTCCAAGCAGGAAGTTCATTCAAGGAAAGCGTTCGAAACAGCGCGCAAGCTCGTTAAAGCTGCTCTAGCTAGAGAACAACTTTTTAGAGCTGAGSAAGACTTCTTTGAAAAGGTAAAAGAGATGATGAATAAGACTTCGACGGAAAATCTCGTAAACGAAAATGCAGATGCACAAAAAGAATCGAATGTAAATAACGAAGAAGGATCTATTGGAGATTATATCCGACAAATTGAAGAGCAAAGTCGATTGGAAGCYAAGGTACGAAGAACGAGTCCCTCCCCACTGCAAGGCATCGCATCCAACACAACTACACAAAGTTTGAATGATTCAATAACTGCAAAAGCAGGGCCCCAAGGAAGAAATTCCTCTCAAGATGCTGCGTCTTTAGATTTACAGGCTTCAGCAGCCAGAATTCTAAAGCAGCTCAACCGTACTAAGGGGCCTGATGAAAAGAATGTCGATGCAGCTGCTCACTTAGAGGAAAAGGTTGCTGAGCAACAAGATGAAATGTACGAGAAACTGATACGACAGACCTTTGGTAAGGGTATGGGAGGAGATGACGAAGATGACGAAGACGACGACGAAGAGGAAGGAGTTACGAGGAATATGAGAACAGAATATAGACCCGAAGAGGAAATGGGTCGTCAAGAGAACTATGGGGACTTTCAGGATACAGACGAGGACGCGCAAAGCAGGTCTAATATTAAATATGTGAAGCAATTTAATCAGAATGAAAGTTTGCCTACTATTGAAGAAGACAGCTTACTTAGTCTCAGAGACAAAATCAGCCGACCGCCAAAACAGGTCTACCCTTAAAGGAGGACAAAAGTAGTTAAAATCCGGAAATATAAGTACAAATATCATTACGCCCCATTTTCATAATTACGCAACCCAGACAACTATGATTGTGTGTTTTCAGTAAATCAAATCTCCAAAGGTCTGAGTTAGTATTTGTTTTTGATAAATGGAAGCCAAAAAATAAACCCAGACGTCGAGGGCAGGGTTGAGCGCATTATTATGTAAATGGGTGTAGCACTGTAAGACCTCTTTTACTTTTTGTGTAATGTTTACCAATTTCAGAGGACGTGACACTCCTGTTACGTTCATCAGTATTGTTTCTTGTTTTTACGTTAGCGCTAGGGAAGATAATGAAATAGTATGTAATAGTTATTAGATCATTGTATACATCGGGATAGTTATCTGATCTACGTTTGTCACGCTCGAGATCCAAACACGTGGCCACTTTTAATGTTAGTATGCGAATCTTTTTGTACACGAGCTTTTTTTTGCTATCAAGCTAAGAGTTCTATGCTTTGTRATTTTTTTTGAGAGCGCTCTGAATGTTAATTGTCTATTGTAAAGAAAATGGTGCTAAAAAAGTCCAAATAAAATGATACTTACAAATATAGCCTTGTATAAAATAGACAAAATTTAGATGCAAAACTCAAATAAGTAAGAAAATGCATAGACATAATCAACTACTTGAGTATAAAATAAAGGTTTTAAATAGAAGCATTTCAATGGTATTATATCATATATGATAGAGTGCAAACAATTAATCCGTGAAACACTAATTACTAAATAGTACAAAATAATGCTAATTAAACAATAGAAAACAATGGAATTTGTATGAAATTGTGCTATTTGATATTACTAAAGTTTCACGATTATATTGTTTGCACTCTATAATATTAAAATTGTAAATTATATTCGGACTACTTCAGAAGGATAGACCTACTTCGTCTTGGTGCCCATGAGAAGACAATACATATAAATATGGATGCAACCCCAACAACAGATTCCCATATACCATTTTTGAGATATGGTGCATTATGATTTTTTAGCTTTGGTACAAACATCGTTTGTTCGTCATGCTTTGTATTATATGGTGTTGTTTTTACCAAGCTAGAATTTTACAAAATGCTGCTGCAAAGAACATTTTTCTAGCGTAACACCATGCACCTTTTAGATCTTTTCAAAAAATCGATAAAAACCAACTAGAACCAGTTCTTGCACAACGTATCATTTTTTCGATCTTGAATACGTATGAGATGGATGGCTGGTGCTTGTTTATTAAATTGGGCTACCTGTGCCTTCAAATTTGTTATTCAAAAAAGGTTTAAATCGTGCATTAAAAGACAAGGAAACAATCAACATATTTTGCATAAGCCAGATATACTACCATCGACAATCAAGGAAGGAATATAGAGGAATGCTGAAAAATTTATCATAGAAATACGAAAAAGCTGTTTAAGAAAAAAACAACACAAACGAGCCCAGAATTCCTACATTTTCAGTACTGTGACTATGATCACTGTACTTTAGTTCATAATGAATTCTTACATCAGTCGTTGTCTTTGAATCGAGGATTGGACTCTACGAACGTATCATTCGAGTTACGCCAAGACTTTGATTTACCTCCATAAACTTAAAAAAAGGTGAGGGATCGAAATATCTATTTTTCTAGGCACGTGTGTTATATGCGATAGAATTCCTAAAAATCGTCGTAAAGTTCTTGTTACAATAACAAAATATTTACCAACCAACTCAGTAGTTGGTCCAACCATAACATAGACTGAACAAATCTTATTTTTTCTTGTTGATTTTGGGCCAACCTAATAATAATAATAAATTAAACCAGAACAAAAATTAGGTTTCTGTATCAAAGTAACATAAATTCGCCAATGTGCTATTGATACAAAAATAATATTTTTGTTGTTCTCGTAATTTTTGAGGTAGGATCAACGCCTTGTTTGTCTAAATTTACACTTTCCCCCGTTCGGAAGAAAAATCGATTTCACCCTATAGCAAATAAATTGATCTTATCAAAAATCAAAAATATTCTACTACAAATATACTAGTAAGTGAGTTCAAATCCGCAATAATAAAAACATATATTGGAAAAATAAACCAGTCAAAAATTAATTTTTTTACGTCCCACCTGACAGAGAGATAATAGTGAAGAAGCTGGAATAATAAAATTTAGCAGGTTGTGTCACTTGGACGGGTGAATTCCATTTTATTCATTGCCGGCAAATTAATTGTTTCACTATTATCATATTTTCTCAAAACCCCTCCGGTCTTAGCTTCGTATTATCAAAGCAAATCTTATTTGTTGGTGAAGAAAACAGGTGAAGTATTTTATAGAAAAGATTTGATTTATTTTACAGAATGATGGATTCCGAGTAATAACTGAAAGGCAGCAAATCTGTCCTTTTGGGTTCAGTCATTGGAAGCCATGTCATGATTCTAGTAGCCAAAATGGTTGAATTAGTTTTTAATTCAGTTGGTTATTTGTCTTTTTATCCAGATCAGTACAGCAGTTTTGGCTAGGCCCGGCAATTACATGGCTCAAATGTAATTAAAACTCCAAAATAACACCATGTGGCCTAAACATTTTGTTGCTGTTTGTTTGGTAGCGACTGTTGTTTTTGCTTTTACAGGTAAGTCATGGACAAATTGCTTTATCAACACGCTTAGCTTCGATTTTATTTCAGACCGGCAGAGAAAGAAATCGAGGGTCAGGGCCCAGTTGTACGAAGGGTGAATAGTGCTATCCGACGCGGGATATATCTTATCCAGTTGATAAATATATTGGATAACAGCATCTACTCATACACTGGATAAGGATTTATCGGTTGGATAGCGCTATCCACCCTTCTACAACCGCCCGGGCTCAAGTGTTTAAGTTTTTTGTCTGTTGGCTACAAGGTACACAATCTTGCTCGAGCAAGAGGTACTACACAGGGAAACTAAATATGGATGATCTCACTCGCTTTACTCTGCCATTCCACTTTTTAGGATGTGATCTGAATCTAAGTGTGGTCGGTTCAGGATTTGACTCAGAACTTTTATTTTCAGTTGCAGTACTATCACAGAATATATTTATACAAAACTCCATTATGAAAAATATAGCGTACTAAAGAAGGGGCCTTACGAAGAAATATCCGTTGCAATATAACATCATTCTAAAACTGAAATATTTTCAATGCCTTTTTTTCTGGATCACAGCTTTGAACCGGTTTCGACTCAGTTTAATAATTAATTGACGAGTATTGGCAATGTTATGTTTCAGGGCCAAGTGATGCAGCTCCAACTAAAGGTAAAATCCCTGTACTCTCTTCATGAATGATATTTAGGTTGAGTGATGATTAGAGTGGCTGTTACTTCTTTCGACTTAGACATTTGAGAAGAAAAAAGCAAAAACAACAAAATTCTATTCTTATACCAAAGCAAGTGAATGGAACAATCCCACCAACACATTACTGAGAAAAAGGGCCAGGAAGTTACGTTATAACGACAACATTTTCCAGGTGTCCAGGTGGAGGGTAAACCCTGACCTCCTGCAAAGCAGATCGTTGCTCGTCTAACCGAGCAAACTTATGTTAAATATTCTACAACTATACCTCTCCCTAAGGAGCTCTTCCTACACACGGTAAGAGACGTAACTGGGTACGAGATTGGCGAGGTAGTGGTCATCTCAGCAATACTTTGTTATTATCGTTATTTTTCTCGGTTTCAAATCTGAAAAAAAAACCCACAATACTTCGCATTTTTATCTTATTTCAGGGTGTAAGAAAACCTTTACATCTTTGTCACAAGAAGCAGGCCTAGAAGCGCAAGCCCTGACCGATCCTGATGAGGACAAGGTATTTCATGCCAACAGCATAGATGAAATAACACTCATGAAGAAGAAATCCAAAGTAATGGAGAAGAGGAGTGATGATAATGATTGTGAAGGTGAAGATGTTGAGAATGGTGCAAAAAAAGGGAATGTAGTGCATCAAACTGTCAAACCGATTCCAAAATCTGGCATCATCAAACTCGATACTAATAAACCCGACAAATTTGTGGAGAGCATTCAAATAGATGCAAATGAAAACAGTGATAAAAAAGTCAAGAAATCAAGTGCTACCGGTTTCATCGATCCTCTAGTCGTGCAACAAAAACAGAGAATACAGACTTTGCAATCAAGCATCCACAAGAATCTCGTAAAACTCTTCCACCACCTAAAGCACACACATCCTCTTAACACTTTAGATGATCAAAAGGAAGTGGCTCAAGCTAAAGAGGCATTAATTGCAGATGCTAAGAGGATGACTGCTTTAAATCATGAACGGTCACCTGCCGAGAACTTCTTGAGTGGACTTAGCAACAATACGCTTATATCAAAAATGCTTAAAAACAAGAACAAACCTAATATAGTATCCTTAGACAACCCTTTGGGGAATGCTACTAAAGTCAACACTAGCAGCAGTGAAGCAAAAGCTGGAAGCAAGGAAGACTCGAGCTTTGAAGTCAAGACAAGTGGAGAAGCAGAACCACACGGTAACGAAGGAAGTTCGAACGTTGAAATAAAAATTAGTGGAGATGTGAAGCCCAGCGGGAATAACAGTAAAAACATTGAAGTTAAAAATGATGATCATTCTAGTTTTAGTGCTGAGGAGGGGAAAAAAGCTAGTAGCCAAGGAAGTTCTGGTACTGAGATAAACTCCAGCGGTAATTTAGATAGCATTGATCTTGCTATGAAGAGCAGCAATGACAAACCAGAGGAGAACGCAAACAAAGTGAAAAAATTAGACAATAATAAGTTCACTGTGAGTGAGAATGACTCATCTTCAAATCCTAACGAAACTGCAAAACTTGGAAAATTTAGCCTTGATAAGAAGGAAGAAAATGTTACGAAGCTTAAAGTCAAAGAAGTAAAAGAGAAAGAATCTGATGAAAACCCGAACATCAAACACGATCCCTACGCTGAAATAGCTGCGAGTCCGGACGATCCAAAGATGCCCCCAAACGTCAAGCTTCCCAAAGAAGGTCCATACATTCCTGTTGGTATACCAAAGAATGATGATGATGATGATGATGAAAAGGAAACGGAAAAAGAGAAGGATAGAGGGCGTGGCGGAGGAGGTGGAGGTGGTGGAGGAGGAGGTGGAGCTAGAGGTGGTGGTGGAGGGGCTCCCTTCATACCACCGCCAGGTAAGATATATTAACGCATGTCAATCTCATTCATTTAACCCCATTAGGTTATTACTTTACTTTGGACAACTCTCGAAAGCAAACTAATTTAATTAGATTAACGTATGTTTTCGGGTAAAGGAAACAATGTTGTTAACTAAATCGCCTTGGTTTAAAAATGATATAATTAATTTTAAAAGATAAATGCTATTTTTAAATAACATAATTGAAGATACCTGTTCATGTTTGCAGAGTTCAGATGATATTGATGGAGGCGTTTCGTTAGTCTATAGTAAACTTTCATTGAAAGCTCTATTTAGTATTCATAATATGTGTCTAAGATGATTAAATTGTGTTCTACTGTGTTTTGCAGCGGTCTGTTTCTGCCCTCCGTTCCGGATTTAGGCTGGGGTATTTTTTTCTCCTCGACCAGCCTGCCATTGGGCTTTACGGAGAGAAAAACAACAGCCCCTGTTCGCGGGGTAGATGTGATTTAATACTGTTTATTTGAATGTATTAATAAACAAAATGCCCCCTTAAGAAATTAGTATTGTGCACGTGGGCTTACCACTGTAAAGCCTAAAGATATTACCCCTGCTCAAAAGTCTCAATTAGAAGTGACCTATTATAGCAGCGTTGCTGGCTTTAGTGTTGAGTCTTGTATTATTCTGTTTAGGTGACTTTGCAGGACAATCTGAAGCTCCTGGTCAAAATGACTTAAGTATGGAAGGTGTGTATAACATTACTACCATTATCGTCGACTTTCAACTTGAATTTCAACTACGGCCAATCAAAGAACTGCGATAAGAAAGATATTTTGATGCCCAGGGATATTAAACTAAATTAAAAATTTTAGAGAATTACAGGAATAAAATCTTTAATTCAGTCAAAAATCTTTCTTAAGATATTTTTAAATATATTTCAGTTCCTTGATTGCAATTGACGGGCGGCGAAGTATGCTTGTTGCCCAACGAGGTACATCGTATAAAGCTTCGCGGGTAGCCCTTCAACGATAATAGTAGTAATTGCACTTGTTGATTCACTTATAAAAAGTATTACTTGCTTTGACAACAGCAACAAAAATGTCTCAAAACTTTAATGTTCTTAATTGTCACAGTGCAGCGTTGGTTAATTTTTTGCTTCTTAATGGCAAACCATCCCAAACCTGAGAGCAGCTCTTTTAAATAATTTATCTACCTCGCAGGTAACGTCAACCCTGATCTTGCTGACAAAGGAATATTGAATTCCTTTCGAACTGAAGCCATACAGGCTCAGCTACAGGACCAGATACAGCAGCAAGCACTAGAAGGACAAATGATGCATGGAATGAATCGGATGATGGGTAGAGGAAGGATGGCAAGTGCATTTGGTGGTGGTAGCTTAGATGGGCTAGGTGCAGTGGGAGGTATGGGAGGTATGCATGGAATGGGGGGTATGGGAATGGGTGCCATGGGAGGTATGGGAGCCATGGGAGGTATGGGAGCCATGGGAGGTATGGGAGCCATGGGAGGTATGGGAGGTATGGGAGGTATGGGAGGTATGGCAGCTGGTATGGATGGTATTGATGGCCCACGTATGGGAGCCATGGGTGGAATAGGTGGTATGAATGACATGCCGGGTGGCATGGGAGGTATGGCTGGTGGTATGCCAGGAGGTATGGGTGGCATGGAAGGTGTAGGTGGTATGGGAAGCATGGGAAGCATGGGTTTTGCGAGAAGTATGGATGGATATGGTGGTATGAATGGCATGAATGGCATGGGCAGAATGCCTGATATGGCAGGAGATATGGACTTTGATGAAGGAGCATATGGACGAAGAGACTTCATGCCAGAGGAACCACCATCTTATGGTGGGCAATACGGATACGACGAAAGTCCAAGGTATCCCTCCATGATGGAGGAGACAGGAGTGAGTAGGAATACTGTACCTGCACGATATCCTGGAGCTGACGAAATAAAAAGGTCTCGTAGACCAATGTACAACCCAAGATACTTTAATGATGACGACGATGACGAAGATGATGGACCTGAAGGTGACTACCCTGAGGCTGTCGCAGCAACACAACGAGACAGAGCACCTGAGCCAAGCAGATACGAAGATCTCCAGGCCAACGATTATGACCCTGATGAAGAATACGATTCCGAAGACGAAAGAAAAACAAGAATAGCAAAAGTAGAAAAACTCTCCAAAATCAAGACAAAAAGTTCTAAAAAGAAGCTGCATTAAGACTGAACCACGTTGGGTATTCAGAACACTAATCTACAGAAACTGTGACCAAGTTTAAATGACGGGTATAAAGTAAAAACGTACGGAGAGATAATAACATGAGAAGGACTATAGAAACGACGTTTTCTCAAGAGCGATGTGATATAGTTTTAGAATGAATTTTCTTGTCATATTCACAGGAGAAAAAAAAAAAAAA